CTGGGATTCTATGACCACAGTTTCAGACACCCTCCAAAACAAATCAAGTCCATGGGAGGGCTCTGTTTGCAACACAGGGTTAGTGAGGGAAGAGACAAATCCCTCCTGGGTAACCAAGGCTGGGATGAGGGTGGTGACAGCCCCTGCAAACCAGCTCCCAGGCAGGAGGACAGAACTGGAGCCCCACTTCAGGGGCAGAGGGTGCAGCACCCAGCAGGTGAGCCAGTGGCTGACCCCCCCCAGCAGCCCCCAGTGCATTTCAATCAGACATGAATCTCCTGCAAAGCTCCATTTTTGATCTGTTCTTGCCTGGTTCAGTGGAGTTCTCCTGCGGCACAGGGACCAGAGCAGGATGAATCCATCAGCCACAACTAATTCCGCGCAGCCAGACTTCACCTGCCCCAACTTAATTTGATGCTCTGAGAAAATTAGATGTTCTCCCACTTGTGTGGAAAAAGGCCAGCACTGAAGGTAATTCAGAGGCTTTGATGCTGCTCTTTAGTCATTCGGGCACCACAGCCACAGCATCACTGCCTGCACTGACCACAGGCTGGGGCTGAGAGTCACTAATCCTCATCACAGCGTGTGAGCCTCAGGCAAGCTGCTGTGTCTGCTCCATGCACAGACACCACCGACCCAGCAAGAGCACAGGAAGATTATTTACAGAGCAGGAATTGTAACTTCAATAACCCCAACACTGCAGGTGCCCAGCAGTGGAGGAGTTTGCCCAAGATCATACTGTGGCAGTACCTTTAAGTACACGCTAGGACCAGGGTCTGAATTTGATGGCACCCGGAGAACACGAAAGCTGTGCACAACAGACTGAACTCCTAGAAAGTGGTGTTAAACCTCCTCCTCTGAGATATTACTGCTTTTTAGGCCAGAGGTGGGAAGATTTTCAGCCCAGGCTGGCAAAGAAGAACTGGGGATGCATTGAGGGGATGACACAGCTGCCTCCCTCCCATGCCAGCCCTGGCACAAGGGAATTTGCACTTGGGTTTAGCTCTAACCCAAACACTGTAATCCAGGGCTCAGCACAGAGCAAGGCACTAATTGCTCACTGGTGCAAAGCAAATCCCAATGCAAACAAAAACACAAGAGTGGTAACACTCCAAAAACCAAAGAGTGATGACACTCCGGGTATTTGGGCTGGAAGCTCTAGAGCAAGGACCCCCAGCTTTGTGCCCACCCACATCCCACCATGATCCACTTCCCCAGGATGGGATTTTTGGAGCAACAGCAGCAGGTACAGACCAGCCGTTCAGGTGAGCGCAGCAGGACAGTGAGGGCCTGGCCACTCCTCAGACAAAGCAGCACACCCAGGCCCAGGAGACCTCACCCAAAGGGAGAGGGTCAGGGAGTGGTTGCATTGCACAAACCTGTTCACCCTTGGCAGGGTTTGGGTGAGCCCAGCACCAAACTTTGCTGCAGGTGTGTCCCTCCGACCGGCTCCTGCAGCACAGAGTTGCTCCACAACAATCCCTCCTTGTGCCAGGGCCCAGGAAGAAGAGGGACTTGAGCTGTGACATGGGCTTCTGACCTGGGATGGAGAAGCTGCAGCCCCAGGGAAGCTCAGAGCACACAGGCTGCTCCAGCCCACCTCTGCTTGGCAGCTTTCAGGATCCTTGTCAGCTTTATATTCATTATATCCTTCCTCTTGGAGCTTCCTATTATACACTGGGGCACCCATCATGCACCTTTCACCCCCTCCCAGATCAGAAAGGGCTGCTCTTTGGCTGCAAACCAACTTCCAGATGTTCTTATGCTTGAAGAACAAACTAGCGGGCTGACAAGAAATCTGAAGAGGGGCTTTGGACAAGGGCCTGTAGGGATAGGACAAGGGGAATGGCTTTAACCTGCCAGAGGGGAGACTGGGATGAGCTCTGAGGCAGAAGTTCTTCCCTGTGAGGGTGCTGAGGCGCTGGCACAGGGTGCCCAGAGAAGCTGTGGCTGCCCCATCCCTGGCAGTGTTCAAGGCCAGGTTGGACA